GTACGCGCGCTCGGAGGCGCATCTGACGGAGCTGCTGGAGCGGGTGTGCGAGAAGATGAAGGAGTACGGGGAGAAGACGGACCAGGCCACGCACAGGAAGAGCTACGTGCGGGTGATCTCCCACGACGGCACCAAGATGAACCTCTCCGGGGTCAAGTTCGACGGGGACGTGACTTCCAGCCTGAAGTTCGCGGTGTGCGGGGGGGCCCTCGTGGCATTTGCTGGGAGAGGGGCTCTCCGGGGGGGTGTTGGTGTCGCCGGTTCCCCCTGGGCTCCCCGGGGCTCTCTCGGGGTCCCTTGGTGTCCCGTGACCGCCGTGGTTCCCGTTGCAGTGCGAGAGCATCGCTGAGGAATACGAGGATGAGCTCATTGAGTTTCTCTCCCACGAGGCTGAAAATGTCAAGGATCGGCTCTGCAGCAAGAGGACGGGTGAGCCAGGGGAGCCTCTGCTGTTCTGGGGGTCGTGGCTGCTCTGTCAGGGTTGGGACAGGAGGAGCTGCAGGTTCTTCCCAAAGTCCCAGTGCTGAGGTGTTACTGCCAGCCCAGTGCCCAGACCCTGCTGCTGCTGGAGCTTTTTTTGGGTGCTGGGGCCGAGCCAGGGCAGCTGCTCTGTGGCTCCATGGTCTCTCCTGGCACAGCCCATGGCACCATCTCCCGTCCCGGGGGCTATTTCCAGCTCACAAACACTGGGGCAGGGCACACCGTGACCTTTGGGTCTTTCCAGTGCTGAATGTGGCCCCCAGAGCTGGGCCAGGGTGGGTCCCTTTGTACCTGGCACAGGCATGAGGGAAATGCTCCTTCCCAGGGTGTCCTGGGGGTCTTTCCAGCTGCTCCTGTGGCTCATCCTGTGTCCAGGGGCCGGGGTGGGGAGTGGCCAGTGCTGCCCAAACATCCAAGTTTGTCATTAACCACAGGGCAAAGCCAGGGAAGTGCAGGTGGCTCCAGCTCAGGTCAGGCTGGGACGGGCACTGGGGCGTGGTGGGATGTGGCACCACGGGGGGTCCCGCAGGGCTCCGGT